GACATTAGGTTTTTACGCGTCGGGTCGAAGCGACCTTATATGTGGGTTGGCGACAATAGCTCTTACGTCTTGGTCAAAGCGACCTTTTATGTGGGCTGACAACAACGACACTTATGTTTTGCCTTTAGGCATATTTAGTTAACTATTTTGGGTTCAGTCTGCGAGTCGGGGTTTCGACTCGAGCTTATTCGACCCTCAAGTTTTGTATTTGTGCGGGCTGGCGACAATGGCTCTTACGCCTTGGGCCGAAGTAGCCTTTTAGTATGGACTGGCGATAATGGCTCTTACGCCTTGGGCCGATGCGGCCTTTTATTGGCTTTATTTTTCCCTCGTTAAGGACTTTTTGAAATAATTTTTACCTGACTCTTCGACGGTTTAATAAAAACCTTGATTATGAGTCATTATGTGGCGATAATCGAGAACCTCGGGAGGTTTGGCTTGGAGGCTGAGTATCTTGAAGCCTGTGATTTGGAGCTGACATGGTCGAAGCTCTTTTGCCTATGTCGAGGGTAGCCTGTTTAACAGGTTCTTTTCGAAGTAGATTCGAAGTAATTGAAGGCCTGTGATTTTGTAGTGACGGTCGAGCATCCCCGAGTCGCGTTAGTTCGGCTGGTACAACCTTGTGATTGGAGTCATTTGTGTTCGGCCAGAGCCTTTAAGTCCCAAGTGAAGTAGTTTCGGCATCTATATCGAGGGTATGCCTTTTTAGGGGTCTTACAAGTTCGATATATAGCCAAAATTTTGAGATCGGGTTTATGCCTTTACTGAGGTCTTACAAGTTTTACATGCCTTTGAGGTCTTACAGTTTTACATGCCTTTGAGGTCTTACAGTTTTGGATAATTGGTACAAGTATTGTTCATGCCTTTCTTGAGGTCTTACAGATATTGCTGTTGCCTTATGTAGGTCTTACAAGACCGAGGCTCGCCGCATGTGGCCTTACAACCTTGGGTTTTGATAAGTCGATGGAGGTGGCGCTTGACGGAAGTCCCGGAGTCATCGAGGGTTTCTTGACATGGGAGTCGTTACTTGTCAACATGGTATTGCCTCATTGAGGGCTTACAATTTTGGCGATTCCGACACTGAGGTCATGCGATTTTTGAGATTTTGGCGTCAGTCACCGAGTGTTCGGGACACCTTCAGTTTTGGAGACGTTTTATGATCTTGATGTTGCCTCATTGAGGGCTTATGAGTTTGGAGGTTCGATTCGGGGATCGTTCAGGTGTCAAATTATAGACGCTACTCTCCGAGTGTTCGGGACACTTTTGATAGAGGAGTCCTTTTCGCTAAAACGCCGAGTTTCTTTTGAAGCGTGGAATGCTTTGACTGAAAGTGTTCTTCGATTACTTGGTACAAGTATGCATGTTTTTGCCGTTAAAATCTTGGTTGCTCTATATAGGCATGGTTCGTTCGAATGTTTGGCCCGGTACATTACTTTTCCTATCGAAGTCTCATTTGGGGTATCTTGGCTTTCCCGAGTAAGTGACCTTCCAGGGGGATGCCCCCAGTATTCGAGGTGGATTGCAAAAGAAATCTTGAATAATTATTGAGTCTCCTTAGGTGTTGTATGGTCGTTACCTCGTTAAAAATCTTGCCAGTAAAACCCTTTTAGGGACAAAATCCGATCGAAGGAAAAGAGTGCAACGCATGCTCGAGGGTTTTTTTCGGAATTTTCAGACGGATGCCCTAGAAATAATATCATTTTAGCATTGATATGTTCTAGTTTATTGGAAGTTGTTCGCCCTCCATGGTACCGAGCTTGTAAGACCCATTGCCGACTACTCCGAGGACACGGTACGATCCTTCCCAATTTTGGCCTAGCTTTCCTTCATTAGGGTTTCGGGTGTTAAAGGTGACTTTCCTTAGAACCAAGTTCCTAACTCCGAAATATCGGAGGTTTGTTCTCCTGTTACAATATCTTTTGATCCTTTGCTTTTGGGCGGCCATCCGGACTAGCTAGGCTTCTCATTTTTCATCTAGCAGTTCGAGGTTTATTGTCATGGCCTCGTTGTTCGAGCTCTCAGTGGTGTGTTGGAATCTAGCGCTCGGCTCCCCGACCTCCACTGGTATCAAAGCCTCGACACCATACACTAGAGAGAAAGGTGTTTCCCCTGTGCTTGATTTTGAAGTTGTTCGGTAGGCCTTCAACACTTCGGGCAATATTTCTCTCAACTTTCCTTTGGCGCTTACTAGCTTATTTTTTAAGTTTTGGATGATGGTTTATTTATGGACTCGGCCTGGCCGTTTTCACACGGGTGGTAAGGCGTTGATAGGATTCTCTTGATTTTGTGATCCTCAAGGAATTATGTTACCTTTCTCCCAATGAACTGCCTCCCATTATCGCATGTTATCTTGGAAGGAATCTCGAATCGGCACATAAAATGGTCCCAGATGAAGTTAATGACTTCTTTCTCTCTTACCTTCTCGAAGGCCTGCGCTTCCACTCATTTTGAGAAATAGTCAGTCATAAATAAAATGAATTTAGCTTTACCCGGCGCCATCGGCAGGGGTCCAACGATGTCCATCCCCTATTTCATAAACGACCATGGTGATAAGATCGAATGTAGTCGTTCGCCGGGTTGGTGAATCATAGGGGCAAATCTCTGGATTTTGTCGCATTTTCGGACGAATTCCTTAGTATCTTTTTCCATGTTGTCCCAGTAGTAGCCTGCCCTGATTATCTTTCGGACTAAGCAAACGGCGACGAAGTGATTTCCGCAAGTACCCTCGTGAATTTGCCGAGGTATATAATTTGTATCCCCTGGCCCCAGACATACTGCTAGGGGGCCATCGAAAGTTCTTTTGTACAAAGTCTTATTTTCATCGAGCGAGAACCGACTGCTTTGGTTTGTAGGGCCCTCGATTCCTTTGGATCCACGGGCAATTTTCTGTCTTTCAGAAAATTAATATATTTATTTCTCCAGTCCCATGTTAGGCTGGTGGAATTAATCTCTGCATGACCTTCATCAATCACTGATATAGATAACTGAATAACAACCCTGGGGAGTAGGTCATCTTCTTCAACAAATGATCCAGGTTTGCGAGGGCATCGACCTCGCTATTCTGCTCTTGAGGTACATTGACTAAAGTCCATTCTTAGAAGCGACGTAATGCGACTTGGATTTTGTTCAAATACCTCTATATCCTGTCTTCTCAGACCTCGTAGCTCCCCTTCACCTGGTTCACTACCAGGAGTGAATCGCATTTTACTTTGATGGTCTCGTCTCCTAGGCTTTTGGCTAGTTCTAAACCTGCAATCATTGCCTCGTACTCGGCTTCATTGTTAGTCAATTTTGCAGTTTTTATAGATTGTCTAATCACGCCACTTGTAGGTGGCTTTAGGACTATACCGAGTTCAGAACCTCTGACATTTGTGGTGCCATTAATGAACAGGGTTCATACCCCGAAAGACGTGCCTTATTTTAGTAAAAGCTCCTTTTCTACCTCAGGCACGAGGGAGGGCGAGAAATCAACCACGAAGTCCACCAGAATTTGGGACTTGATGGCCGTTCGAGGTTGATAATCGATATCATACCCCCTGAGTTCGATGGCCCATTTGGCCAATCAACCCGATAGTTTGGGTTTGTGCAATATGCTCCGGAGGGGGTATGTTGTTGGAACGCAAATATGGTGGCATTGAAAATAGGGTTTCAATTTTCGCGATGCGCTCATTAATGCAAGAGCTAATTTTTCAAGGTGTGGGTACCTAGTTTCGGCAACCCCTAGGATCCGGCTTACATAATAAACAGGGAATTGCGTACCTTGCTTTTCTCGAACTAGCATGCTACTTACCGCTATCTCGGATACGGCAAAGTATAGATATAATGTTTCATCATCCTTTGGCGTGTGGAGCAGAGGTGGGCTAGTTAGAGATATCGTTTCAGCTTTTCTAAGGCGCTTTGGCATTCTGGAGTCCATTCGAAGTTGTTTTTCCTTTTGAGTAAAGAGTAAAAATGATGGTTCTTGTCAGATGACCTTGATATGAATCTGCCCAGAGCCGCTATTTACCCTGTTAGCCGTTGCACGGCCTTTACATTGTTTACCACCGTGATTTCTTCGATGGCCTTGATTTTATCGAGATTAATATCGATCCCCTTGTTTGATACCATGAAGCCTAAGAATTTGCCCAAACCCACTTCGAAGGAACATTTCTCAGGGTTGAGCTTCATGTTGTAAATTCTGAGGATGTCGAATGTTTCCTACAAATTAGTTAAGTAGTCCTCTGCGCGCAGGGACTTAACTAGCATATCATCAATATAAACTTCCATGTATTTACCTACTTGATTCTCAAACATTTTATTAACTAGACGCTAGCATGTAGCCCCTGCGTTTTTTAATCTGAAGGGCATTACATTGTAACAGTAGGTACCATACTTTGTGATGAACGAAGTCTTCTTCCTGTCTTCAGGGTTCATCTGAATTTGATTGTACCCTGAGTAGCCATCGAGAAAGGTGAGGGTCTCACGGCCGGCCGTAGCATCGATCAGACGATCGATGTTAGGCAATATGAACGAATCCTTCAGACACGCCTTATTTAAGTCTTTATAATCTATGCACATTGTTAGCTTTTTTCCCTTTTTGGGTACCACTACTACGTTGGCCAGCCATTCGGGATACTTTACCTCTCTAATGGACCCTATTTTAAGGAGTTTTGTTACCTCATCCTTGATGAATGCGTGTTTCTCGGACTGGGGTCTTCTTTTTTTATCACCGGTTTAAACCTAGGGTTGACACTTAGTCGGTGTGAGGTTATTTTTGGTGGGATACCTGTCATATCTAAGTGAGACCAAGCGAGACAGTCGATATTATCAATAAGAAATTGAATAAAGTTTTTCCTGAGTTCGAGGGTTAATCCCGTTCCCAGATATACCTTACGATCGGGGAGGTGTTCGATCAAAATAGCTTGCTCCAAATCTTCAATTGTCGATTTCGTTGCATCCGACTCTTCGGGGGAAACGAAAGTTCAAGGAGCGAGGAAATCTTCTTCGTCATCCTCGGGAGTTTATATGCTCCAAGACACATCCGAGGTCGAGAGTACGGGGGTCGGCTCCTCTTGGTAAACCGTGAACATTTCTTTCACCACATGTTGTTCCCCATATATGGTTGTTATGCCATCCTTTATCGGAAATTTAATCATCTGGTGCAGAGTTGATGGTACTGCCCTCATACTGTGTATCCACGACCTGCTAAGTAATGCGTTATACCTTATATTGTCATTGATGACTTGAAACTTGGTGTTCTGAACCGTGCCAAATGTGTCGATTGGAAGGGTGATTTCTCTTTTTGTTACTTCGTCGGTCATGTTGAAGCCGTGGAAAACCCGGGAGGCGAGTATGATCTGATCGAGCAAGCCAAGCTGTTCCACTACCCCTAACCTGATTACGTTGGTCGAGCTGCCTGGATCCACGAGCACATGTTTAACCTGAATTTTGTTTAAAAGAAAGGAGATTACCAGCGTGTCGTTGTGTGGTTCTGCCAAGGTCTCGAGATTATCTTCGCTGAAAGCGAGGGTGTCTTCGGCCACGTGATCTCGGATCGGCCCTTCCATTGCGGCAGATATTTTTGTCCACTTGATCGTGGGCCCTTGGGGAATGTCGATCCCTCCAATAATCATATGAACGACATGCCGCGGAATCTCTTTTTGATCCTAGGTTGGATTTTGCCAGGTTTCTCGTGGAACTTTTCGGCGCGCTTTCTGGTGAACATGAGGAGCGATGCCAACACATTAGGCATCGCGTGAGATCGTACCCTTGGAGGTCGGCTCCGATGCGTTCACAAGGTTCCATGAAGATCTTGGACAAGAACAGGTGTGAAAGATAACTTGCATTATGTGATGAAAACAACAAGAAAATAATCACTATTATTTTTAGCCCCACGGTGGACGCCAAACTGTTTACCGTAAAGATGGTAATAACAATTAAATTTTATTATGGGACTCTAAAAATATGTGATCTATTTTTATGCTAGTTATTAAGCAGTTGATGCCATGTATGTGACACTTAGAAACGAAATAAGAGTTAAGGATAAGATGATAACAAACCGATAGGTTAACAATCGGGGCCTCGAGCTTGTCGACTCGGGGGCCTCGAGGTCGATCCCGGAGCTCGGCTGTGAGCTATCGAAGGTGATCGAGGTATGACTAACAGTTATAATAAAATTAATGAAGGCTCTTTATGACCAATGATAAGCAATAAATGTTGAACAATAATGAAGATAATAAATGGAAGTAATAATCGCAAGAGACTATTTTAGAAAGTAGAGAGAATGTTCTTATTTATTTTGTATGGAGCAATCAATCCTTACAATATGGTAAGGACCTCCTTTATGTAGAAAAATAAGGGATCCTATCGCAGTACAAACCCATTTATTACAAAGGTATGGAGATGGGACAACTAGTCGACATCATGATGCAGGCTCAGACTAGCCTGACAGACTTTGGGAACTCCCCTCTTTTCCAATATAGCCGTTGGTCTACATTGCCCCGAGGTCGAGCATCGACAACCCTCGAAGGTGAACCTTGACCCCAGTCTTGAGCCTTGGGAAAGTATTTTCGGGGGCATCATAGTGACGAGGAAATTGGATCCTCTGATTTCATCGTGCACACAAATGATGAAATTTTCCAATTATAGCATTCCCCAATTTATATGTTGAGTACCAATACATAAACACAAATGTTGTTGCTTGCACCATCTAAATTTCACTGTAGTGAGTCTCGCAAACCTAAAGGCTAAACTTTCAAGGAAGAAAATCAAAAACAACAAGTAATAGCGTGAATCGGGAGATGAAATCTCTTTTCACATAATAAACCAATGCAATAACCTTGATTCCATCTATAAATGTATATATGCATAAGAAAGGCTTGAAATCATTCTCCTTGAACTCAATATGATCCCTTGTCAATTGAGTTACTTATGCATTATCCATTTCAGCAACACAAACATACAATTACTTTATTATTTCATGAATTGACTCTATATTGCAATAAAAGACACGTAATATTAGTTACTTTTTAATGTTCTTACATGAGAAACACTACTCAATCCATTCGAGGAGGAACTTCACTCATCTAGCTCCTCAAATGGGTATAGAAAGCCTTTTATATTTTTGAATATGTATAAAGGCAGGGAGAATGAATTGTTACCAACTTCACACCCTATTTATTTAGGTTAATCCTATACGTTTCAGATTTCTAATATTTCTTTCTTTAATGAATCATTAAATATATAATGAAGAATGACCATTCAGATGGATCACATGAATCGGGTCTACATGAACTTTTTTTTGTAACTCCTCGAATTCTCCTTACTTACAACATAATGAATTGGTTAATCAAGTGGTTGATTTTCCGTATAATTGATTCGTTGGTAATAATTAATTGGAAAGTTAAATAATAGAAATAGTGTTTTGATGAGGGGTAAAAATGTCATTCAATTTTTAAAGGGCTTTTATGTAATTTAACTTTACACTTAAGGTCTTCCTACTTATAATAGGTGAAGATCAATTTTTTTAAAATCACATAATATATCGTTGAAAATACGTAAAAAGTTTTATAAAAAAATCATCTTTTTGATCTATTACTGAGGTAAATCAAATAAACGAAGATTTGGTTTATGAATATAAGTAAAACATTTTCAAAACCATAGTATTGAGGATTTCATTATTCCTCATCCGAAAATGATTTGGGTTACACATAGATAATCAACATTTTTTATTCAAGATCTTGTTTGAAAGTAATTAATTGCATCATTAGCAATCCTATTTTTACTCAATTTAACCAATTTTCTTTTCATCCTTCTTGTATTATAAAAGTCACCGCGCATAGCGAGATCTTAGTATACCAGGTTATCCTTCTTATATTACAAAAGTTAGTCCACTTTGTGAGTACTTAATAGGTTCTAAAAAAGTTTTTGAAGGTTAGGAAAGCTTTTCTAGGAAATGTGCATGTCTGTTGCAAGTGTTTTGAAATTTTTTTGATTTACTGCCGGCCACATAAGACTCAAATGAGGAATAGCCAAATCAAGCTTAGCAGCCGGTAAACAAATTCTAGAAATAACGGCTTAGGACAAATTGATATTATTTGTTAGGATACAAGAAATAATAAATCATACAGTTACTACTGCAGCTTTAATGTGCTTGCGAAAGAGTAACAAAAGGATAAATATAATGTAGTAACTAAATCGGAAAATAACTCAGAACTGGGTTTTTATTTAACCAAAATGACATCCACCTCCAGCGTTAAAAAAGGAAGCAACCATAAATATACAGCAAGACCAAAACAGCATCTCTAGAACCTTGGTACTTCATCTAGTTATATAAAGTAGCAAATTAAATCAACAACCAATCCAATGTTAATTGAATAACTTTTCCTAATGCATGTAAAAGGGCAATTCTTGTCTTCCTGTTGAAAAAGAACAAGAAACAAATTTGCTGGTAACCCCGATTCATGTAAGTTTCATTCTTGAACCTAGAGTTTTGCTTACTATTTTAATAGCCACTCGGAAGAAATACTATGGATGCAAAAAGGAAAATTTTTACCTAGCAAAACCAATATTATTATCAATGTCTACAGCAAGAAACTATCAACAATCATATCTTGATCTATCATTAATTTTGTAATTTTCCTGTTCCGTTTGTCTACTCTGGCCTAAGCCAAGTAAAGAAATACTCGAGCAATAACTATTGTAGTTATTAATATTTAAGAATTTGCTGAAACAGACCAATATTGTCCTAGTAAAAAATATAAAAAGGTAATAAAAAAAAACTTACTGCATGTAGATGGTATTGGGCATTTGCTGCCAAAAGAGTGGATGGCATGCAAGCATAGAGGTGGCCAAGGGCCAAAAGGAAATATGCAACAATATTCCTTATTGATTTTCTAAGATGAGAAAAATAAGCAACTCAACAGCTTGTCCTTCAACGTATGAAATTAAGAATTTATGAACAATCATTATAGTCATATCAAACATTCTATGAATCTGGTTAGGAATACCAAAATATATTATGACTCTTCATAATCTGTTAATTTAGTGATCCAGCAATAATGACGGTTAACTAAATAATTAAGATAATTAAACTTACAAAATGGACAACCTACAAAACTGATGGAATAAATAAAAGTAATAAAAATAATTTTTCTTTCTTTTGGCTCAAGGATAAAATGGTCACTTAATTTTCAAAGGATATTTTTGTAAAACAACTTCACCTAAAAATCTTCATGCTTATAATATAGTATGATGATATGATGATGATGATTCCTCTTCAAAGTATTTTCAAGGGCTTCTTTCTTCTGCGGCCTAGTAGTGGGTCATTTAAGAATGGGCTCTTAGGAGACTGCCCTACCACATCTAGCAACAATAAATTGGGCTACAGGCACATTATCATAGTCTTCCTTACTTTCATCATCATCTTTTTCGGACAAGGTGTCATCTTAGGAATCACAAAATCTAATAGCACTGCATCAAGGTGAGGAGAAGGAGGAGGGTCAGTATTGTCCAGAGGCTCTTTTGTAGAGCATGATGTTTCATCCCGAGTAAGAGCAGAGTGTTTGGGCAGAGGGAGAAGGTCCCTCTATTGGATCCTATGTAGTACTAAATGGCACCAAGTCACCATGAGGCACCAATTCCCCACGTCCAACCCCATTCTCTTTTTCTTCCCCCCTGAGAACCAGTAGTCACATCACCACACACATACTCCCCAACTAACCCTCCTTTAGTATCAATAAACAACATGTTCTCTATGCCTTCTTTCTCACTTATATCTAACAATGTAAAATCAGTGGATGCAAGAGAGGCATTACCTGATGGAGAAGCAACATTCAAATTAAACATTGGAGCGGGAGGAGTAATAAATACTCCATATGCTTCACCAGCAACCAGCAATAGCTTCTTGGGCTACATATACCTCCTCAACTTGCTGACTCGAAACCTCTATTCACTGTACTAGACATGGCTCATAGACAACCCCTAGGACAGACTTGCTCAAATACCAAGTTTGTCACGACCCAAACCGGAAGGTCATGACTAGCATCTGGTCCATACTTGCCGAGCACCAATGTACATTTTATCTAATCTTTTGTTACATTTCGTGTTTTCGTACGTTAAAAGTTTCGTCTTCAGTTAATTGACGTAGACTTGGGGATGAGATCATCTTGACATTAACGTATTTACGCTATTTATAACAAGCGACAAAGAAGTGTCATGAAGGATAAAGGGTACACGAATTAAGAAAGCGAGTTCCGTAAAGTGGCTAATTTGGGATAAACTATGGGTCGAGCGATATTACCCGATAATTATGGACTAGTACCATATGACCACGGTAGTATAACATATAAAGTATATATATAAAGTAAATTAAAAATAAGTATAATTTTAAGTAATTTGTGATATTTTTTAAATTATGCAGGTAATTGATTAATTATCGGGTAACGGGACATTACCCAGCTAACTAATACGTGGATAAATTTTTTTATAAAATGCATCCCCCAAAAATATGGCACAAAGCCACAATGACTAAGAATGATTCTTAGTCATTTATGCCACGTGGCTACCT